TTCAAGAACATTCCATGAATCATCATATTTCATTGGTCTAATACAGGTAACAGTGTTCTTATGAGTAGTAGTAATTTCTTCTACAGCACTCTTAACTGTAGCAGTTCCTCTAGATGAAAGAGATTTGAAATGGTCCATAGCAGACATAGTTCCAGTAGATTTAGGTGCTTGTTTCTGATCAAGTTCTTTTACAAACTTCCATCCATCAGCACCACGTTCAAATAAACATGGATTGAAATGATGTCCAACAGCAACAACTTTATTGTCAGTAATGCAAAGAACATCTAAGAATGGTAATGTTTTACATTTGATAGTTTGAACAGTTGGTTTTCCATCATTAGCTTCAATGAATGAAATAGAAGAATCATGAGAAACAAAAACAACAGTTGTTCCAGATGGTGTATAAGCAATAGAATGAACCCATCCACTAACTTCAGTTTCAAATAAGAAAGTACCTAATTTGCATTTTGGAGATGAAAGTTCTTGTTCTGAAAATGGAGAGTATGAACCTTTTGGATCTATTGTTTTATTAAAAGCATTAAAAATTCTTGCCTTAAAATCAGTTGATGCAGCTGCTACAGTAAGTGAATCTGGAGACCATGCTACTTTAGTAACAGTTGACTTGAATTTTTTAACATGATCTGAAGCCCACCAATTTGATTCTTCATTAAATCTACAAATAGCAACAAGTTTATTTCCTGAAGCACATGCAAATTTAGTTTCATTTGGTGACCATTTAATGTCAGTTGCAGCAAAATCAATTCTCAATAATACAAGAACTGGTACCCATTCTCCTTTCTCATTTTGGGTCCATACATATGCATTTCTATCTTCTGAACATGAAACAATTCTATTTGATTGTGCAGCCCAATCAATTCCAGTAACACGTGCATCATGTTCATTTAATTTTGCTTCAGTTGTAAATTTATTACCATCAAAACTAGCAACAATAATTTCTTTGGAACATGGAGAATAAGCATTTTTAGTAGCATCACCATTCCAACAATGACATCCAATATTATCACAAAGATGGAAACTCTTTGGAGCTGACATT